CGGTTGATGGGAAAGAGTGAGAGCATCACAGGGCAGCAGGGACAGGCTCCTCCCTCTCCCGCTCTGGTCCCTGCTTCTAACAGCAGTGAGCAAGCAAAAAAGAGGCAGAATGGAAGATGCCTGGTGCTTCACTCCCAAAGCTTTGGGGCTTGAGAGAGAAGGGTTTGGGTTGGCTGGGTACCAGAAAAGAGAGACATAATTAAGAGAGATACAGAAGGTGGGCTAATGAGAGGGGTTGGTACTGGGAATTTCAGGAGTGACTCAGAGAAAGAATTAGGGTCATCTTGTATTCCCCTGACCAACCTTGGCACAACATCCTGACGTTTTTTCACGCTAGAGACTGCCAGGACTACAGACATCAGTCTCTGCCCTTCTTTCTCATATACCGGCTGTTCCTCTGCCCCAGAGCTGGGAAGTGGACACGGGGTGCCTATATCTGGGAACTCCAGCTGATCTCTGCAGGGTTATCTTTAGTCTGGTTTTCCCTTATTTACTGTGTGACTCTGATTTCCGCTGTAGTTGAAGCTCATTAACTTTAGCTGACTTTGGCAAAAGTGGGACACAAGTCTCCAGAGGATGGTTCCTCTACTTAAAAATTCCCCTTTCCCCTCCCCTTTCCTCTCTGTAACTTGTTTATGTGTGTATTTATTTATTCCTCCCCTCCTTCCCTCCTCCTCCCCCCTCTCTCTCTCGGTAGCATGCTTTCGTGTATGTTTATTTGTATTGCTTGGGTCTGAGTGTGTGTGAGGTGCACGTGCCTGTGTGTATGGAGCCTGGAAGTTGACCCCGAGTGCCTTCTTCAATGGTTCTTCACTTAGTTTATTGAGGCAGGGTCTTTTGCTGAACCCAGGTTCACCAGTTCTGGCTAAACAAAGCAAACACATGGGAACCCACAACAACCAACCAACCAAAACCCCAAATCCCAAGTAAACAAAGTAAAAAACTGAATTTGAAATCGCATTCTGCTCACTTCTCTGTGTGACTTTGCACCCGGCTTTTTTTTTCTTTAGAATGAATGGTGCGGCTTCACATTCCCGTTTTCTCACCGTTTCCTTGTTTCTTTGAGATCTCTCTCAGAGTTAGCTTTATTGAAAAAACTCCAAATTGAGCGTCCAGGCCAAACCTTAGTGCTGGGAACTGCTGAATTGTTAGGGGTTGGGCGAGGACTGAGGGAGGACATGGAGGGAGTGGAGAAGGCTTCACATACTAGGAAGTTTGGCTGGGCTTCAAGAGAGGGGGCTCTTGGCAGTGTGGCCAGATTCCAAATGTTGGTGTAAAGCCAGGGCTCAAAGAAAAGGGCCCTAAGATGGTCTAAATGGCTCCCTGTGGGAAGTGACCCCTCGGTCCTCTTTCCAACATACAAGAGCTCCTTTTGGGTCCTCAAGAAGCAGAGTGGTCAAGCCATCTCCCTACGGATTTCACTCAATCGCATTTAGATTCTTTCTTTCCCAGCCACTCCCACAGCATGGGCTTTGGCTACAGGCAGAATTCAGAGGCCTGCAAAGGCTTCCAGTGCTTGAAAGGTGGGTGGGGTGAGTGAGAAAGTCCTCAAGCTGTGTGTCTTGGGGAGAGAAAGCCTGACCCTTGACACACACACTCCAAGCCTTTGTTGCCAGAGGGAGTGGAGGGTGAAGTGACCCGTGGAGTGTATCCTCTAGAAGGGCTTGCTTATACGTTAGAGACAACAGCAGGGAAAAAAGTATGTACTGGGGAGCTGGCAAATAGGGGTTCATATACAAGTGAAGAAGATATTTAGGGAATCAGGAAGGGACGGGAGGAAAGGCCACTGTCTTTGTTGGGTATGGACATTTCTCAATTAAAATATTTCTGGAAATAACTTTGGACTGAAAGAAAATTGCAAAAGTAGTGTGCAAAGGACCTTCTGCTCAGTTTCCTGAACATGCAACTGCACTATGACATCAAACCCCGGAGCTGACATCGGTACAATGCTATTAACCATCCGCAAGCCTTATTAATTTTTAAATAAATCTTTAAAAAACCCCGAAGTCGTCACGTACATATGTATTCATTTGTGATTGAGGACTGTGCAGTTTTACCCCTGTATAGATTCAGCCTCCACCACAGCACAGAGCCTGCAACTGTAAGGGAGCTGCCCTGGGCCTCTCCCTTAATACTTGGACTCACGCCCCGGTCTTATCCCCTGGCAGACACTCATGTGATCTCTATCTGTGTAGTCCTGTCATTTTGAGAATGTTATATCAATGTTATAATGCAGTACTTTTGTGTACGCGGTGTTGGGAATCATAATCATGTATGCTAGGCGGGGGTTCCTCCACCGAGCTATGCCCCTGCTCTGAGCTCTTCCGGATTTTAGGCTGGCTCCACACTAAAGATCTTGCATATGAGGCTTGGATTGAAGGAGTGAAGTACCATGTCCAGCTTTGAGCATTGCTTATTAATTTTACTGATCTCTAAACACTTTTTTTTGAGACAGGGTTTCTCTGTAGCTTTGGGGCTTGTCCTAGAACTAGCTCTTGTAGACCAGGTTGGCCTCGAACTCACAGAGATCCTCCTGCCTCTGCCTCCCAAGTGTTGGGACTAAAAGTGTGCCACCACTGCCCGGCTTACTTTCTAAACTCTTGACTCAAATACAAGACGTTCTCTGGCAAGATGTTTAGTGTCGACCTTCCCTCGCTCTCTGGGTTTCTCTAGTTTCTTTATGTCTATTCACCTTCAGTGCAGCTCAGCACCGCAACAGCAACATTCTGCTCTGGATTATCCCGTAGGGAAATACGTTTATCTTCATTACTAAGCTGGTCCAGTAGTCTTGTGTGTTCTTTCCCTCCCTTGCCCCACTATTTATAGCCAGGCTAATTTTGGGTGACCAATCTCTCTTATTTTCTGCTTCTTCCTCCTGTGGCGGGTGAGGTGACTTCTCAAATATTTGGGCAGAGGAGGTCAGAAGCAGATTCTTGGCATCTGATTTCAGCCTCCGATTTATGGGAAGCTGGTGGAGTGCAGGGGAGTGCAGACCAGACAGAGGCTGCAGGTGCAGAAAGGAAGGCAGTTGGGGCTCTGGCCTGAGTCAGAGGCCTGGGGAGGAGTCATGAGCACTGGGTTCCATCCCAGTTTTGTTCCTCTGTGTGTTCATAGCATCTCTTTTCTGCTTATCGGGGCTCTGAGACCACAACGCACTGGAGAGGAAATGTTGGGGGACACTGAAGGGAGAACCCTGATAGAGCCTTGCATATGTGTCTGTTCATAGCAACTGTTTAGAGGGGTGCTGCAGCCCTGCAGAGCATAAAGAAAATGCCCAAACTAGCATCTGCTTTTAACTCACCTGGCAACAAACACTGTCCTGTGGTCAGAGTAAGAGCCCACATTTCCTTTTTCTCTGCTGAAGAAGTATAACCCTGAACACAGGAGAGAGATGCGAGGGCATAGGAAAAGGAAGAAGAGAGTTCGCAAGAATATGAGGTATTCGAAGGGCAGAGGCAATAGTGACAACAAGGAATGGTCTTGAGAAAGATCTCAAGAGTGACGTACCCAGTAAGGGGTGGGGTGGTCAAAATAGGACTTCAAAGTCAAGAGTTCCATACACAAGACCAATGCCTGGTAAGAAAGAGAAACCAGGGGGCGAAGTGGAAGGCCGTGAGGCTACCATTTTACCAAATTATTTCCCATCTAGTCCCTGGCACCGTTTCTTGATTAGAGTTATAAATAGCAGAGATGGGAAAAAGTCCCCTCCCTTTGTGTCTATCCCAGAGTGGGGGAAGGGAAAGGAAGCCGGGTAGGCCTTTGGGTCCCTGAGAAGAACTCTTCTTGTCTTTGAGACAGGGTCTTTTGTGGAGATCTCTTTTCTGATGCCCAAGTCCTGCCTGAACCAGCCTAAAACCCCATACCCCCTTTTGATTTATTTATTGACACACCATCTCACTTTGTAGCCCTGACTATGTAGACCAGGCTGACTTCCTTGGGTTTATCCAGTGCTGAGGTTACAGGTGTGGGCCACAAAGCCTGTCTTCCATTTCCCTTCTTTGTTTTGAGACAGGGTGTCACTCTGTAGCTCTGCCTGGAACGCTCCATGTAGACTAAGCTGGCCCGGAACAGGCAGAGATCTGCCTGCCTCTGCCTGCCGATTTCTGGGATTCATAGGCGTGCCCCACCCTGCCCAGTTTGCCATCCCTTATCGTTATGCGGGAAATGCCCGGTCCCTGGAAAGATCTGATAGCAGGACACTCCCTTTCTATGCCTTTGCCTCATGGGTCTTTCATCTTTATCACCTTTTGACCCCCTCTTCCCTCTCCACAGTTGAATCTGCATTCTTAATTTTACTCGTTGTTTCTTCCTTCCCTGCAGACTTTGAGCTAACTCTTCGTCTTCCTCTTGCGCTTCTTTCTTTCTTTCTTTCTTTCTTTCTTTCTTTCTTTCTTTCTTTCTTTCTTTCTTTCTTTCTTTCTTTCTTTCTTTCTTTCTTTCTTTCTTTCCATTCGTTCCATCTCCACACCTGCTGAGCGTCTTTCTCTCTGAGCCTTTGCTTCTCTCTGGTCCCTAGCTGTTTGTGGGCTCTGTGGCACCGGGAGCGGTTTGATTCCTACAGCCTAAGAGGTGTGCTTTGCTGCTCTGGGGAGGCGGAGTCTGTGAAAGACCATGCCGGATCGAGACGCAGGGACCCTCTGCTTTCCCTTCCTTTGTTTTTAATCAGCGCAACTTCTCAGTCAGTTCTTCAGCCTCCTCCCAGTTCTCTATGACCCTTCTTTCTCTTTTCAGCCTTCTCTACATCTGCACTTCTTTCAGCATTCTTCAGCCGTGAGGTTCTTTCTCAACCTCCACTTTTTGGGGGCAAGGGTGAGGAAAGGGAGGAGTACACTGTGCAAGGGTGGGGCGTCAGGGTGCTAGGTAGGGGGTACGGCGGATGGTAGACCAGTTTCCACCGGAGCTGAGGTTCTGGGCATCCCAGGAGGTGCGCGGGTTCTCCATCAGCTGCAGAAGGCAGGGGGCGGGGCCTGGGCGGGGCCTGGGCGGCATCCAGGAGAGGAGGCGGAGCCGGAGCGCACGCCGGCTCTCCCCACTGCAGTAGTTGTAGTTAGCAGGTCCTGGGGCAGCGGAGAGAAGGTCTCAAGAGGGGTGCCGAGGCGGTTGGAAGGTTGGAAGACTCCTGAAAGACCAGACAGATTTCGAAACCAGAGCACTCCTGGGGAGAACGGGGGGCCTCTAGGCGCGTGACGATTTCTTCGCACTATCAGGGTGCGCTTGCAAGGCTGGTTCCATGGGCAGGATTCCGAGCTGCGATTCCCTCCGGCCCCCTGGGATTTGTTACCTTCTTAGTTCCTTGTTCGCCGGACTGCTCTTACCACGGATTGTCGCCTTCAATCTGGATGTAATGAACGCCCTGCGCAAGGAAGGAGAACCTGGCAGCCTCTTCGGCTTCTCGGTAGCCCTGCACCGACAATTACAACCCCAACCCCGGAGCTGGTGAGTCACCATACCAGCCCAGAGTCCCCAGGCTCAAGCCTTGGGCTACTCTTCTCCCAACTCCCTATCTACCTGTCTCTCCGACTTTCAGTGTGCTCTGCCCACAGGCATCTCACACCTGAAAGCTTGCTCAGTCTTGTCCAGATCCCCAGACCCAGGATCTTGCCTTGGGGATGAGTTGGAGAGCAATGGTCTTGCCAGAGACCCCCTTCCCCTCTGCCTTTCCCTTCAGGGTGCATCCTCGCTCCAGCCCTACATCTCTGGTTCCTCTTCTTCCTCAGAGCCGCGAACTGCATAGGGCGAAAGGAGTGGGCAGGACAGAGAGGATGAGGGAGCTGTGGGAGGAAAAGAGGAGAGAACAAATAGGTACTGCCAGAGCATCACCCTGAGATGGAGTGAGGGCTGCAGGGCCCTGGGAGGCCAGAACTGATGCGGGCGGCTCAACACAGCAGGGAGACTATCGGAAGACCGAGGGGGCCTGGCAATCTGCAGCGACGGTTTGGTCAGAAACAGTGGCAGGAAAAAAGAGACTCCGAGTAGTAGCAAGGGGTGGTGGCAGCTGTCACCACTGCTTCCAGAAACAGCAGCAGCAGCAGCAGCAGCAGCAGCAGCAGCAGCAGCAGCAGCA